GGTGCCTGTGCTGGTACCTGCCATGTGCAGCATGGTCTCTGTTGTGCCCAGCAGTGTCCCCAGTGTCCCCAGTGCTGTCCACTCAGCCCATCCTCTCTGGCCAGGACTGAGCTGAAGCACAGATATCCCTAAAAATCTACATTACACAAAGACCTGTGGCTGCAGGCCGCTAGCCCATCCTCTCTGGCCAGGACTGAGCTGAAGCACAGATATCCCTGCATCCCTAAAAATCTACGTTACACAAAGACAGGCTGCATGCCACTGTATCCTTGATTACAACGTGCTGTGCTTTGGCTGTTTATGACAGAGTCACTACATGTATGAACATTAGTAGGATGCAAACTCACAGCTATGCCTCCACACACCTTGCTTGCTGCTGAGTCCTTCCAACCTGTCTTTCCATCATGCTGTGTGTTTCAGTGGTGTGCACAGGGTGAATCTTAACTTGAAGGTCAATTTTATAGGTCAACTCATATAAATTTCATAGTCATTTCATTCCTGGCCTCATTCAGTCTGTGTAGGAAAAGGTTGCATCCCTAAATCTATGGCTCCATAATGTAACTAGGAATTCCTCAGACATGTTCTTGTAAAATTTGGGGTTTCACACAAAAATAGTGATTTTCCTTTATTGTCCTTTCCCAATTTATGCTTCTGTAAGACAACCCCAATGCACCTTCTAATAGTTTGCTTTCATTTTGCCTACAAGTGGCATCAAAATCTCATGCTGTGGCTGTGAATATGAGCTGCCTGGTGACAATAAGATTTTGTTTTGCTGACAATTTTGCCACAGGTTGGTGTGATTCTGACCATTTTCACTTTCTCAGATTTTTCATGCTGCTTTTCCACATAAAACATGTTACAAACAGCATCAGTGCCTATATAAATCCATAACATGACCTCTGCAGCACTGACATCCTTAGAAACCCAAAGAAGCACCAGAGTACAATACTTAGTATTTGGAAATTTATAATCTTCAGTTATACTCAGCTGTATCATTTTCTTACCAAGGAGCCATGAAGTCCAAGATTTGTTGACTCTACAAAAGCAACACTAGAAAGTTGCAAGTGAAAGGCCTGAATTTCAGGGCTTTTTAAATAAAGTTGGAAGAGAAAACCTCTTTGAAGGAAGAGGAAGAGCACTGAAAGTTTAGCATCTTCTCATTGTTTGAAATATTAGCATTATCATAAACATGCTAAGTCATATTTTTCATAAACTATTTCACAAGCCATGGCACAGATTCTTGCCCTTCAGAGCTCCAATAATGGAAATATTGAAAGTGAAAATCACTCAGACCAATTCAGAGTTTAACAGAGTCAAACTGATTTATTGCTGTCAAGGGCACAAAGATGTGGCAGTCATACAGTGCAATAATTGCTTAGAGGAAATGTAAAACCATGGATGTAAAGGAGTTAACCTGCCTTGTACATACACATGTGCAATGCCAGTTGCACTTGTTTGCTCCAAGTGATATTATTCCATTTGTTATGAAATGGTGGAAAGTTCAATGGCCAAGGAGTGGGAGTCAATCTGTCCAGCAGAAATTCAGAGTACTTTGCTGCACTGTGGTCCTCTACTGAGAAGAAGGAGATTTTTATTTTTTTTTTAGCAAGAGGAGACATGGACATTGCCATCTCACAGCCTCAAGCTGTCCAGTTCCTTTTAAGGAACAATTAATCAAACTCTTTCCCCTTTCTTCCTCCTAAACAACACTCAAAGCCATTACCAATAATCAGCTAATAGGAAACTTGATTGATTCCCATTTGGAGGAAGCCAGATGAGTTTCTTGTACCAAATGTGGGAAATTAGTCTGTGTGTGTAAAATCCTCTCTGTAGGAAATGACTGACAGCCTAAAGCGATGCAGCTGCAAAACATAAACACAGCAGTGCTTTTAGTGAGAGCACTTTAGATAACTGTTATTAATGTCCCTTCCAGGATGTCACTTAGAAAACCACAATCAATTACTATAGTGATAGCAATACTATATATAGCAATTGTATGCAAGTGATGGAGATGCTGGAAACCAGTTATTATTGCTTAGACATAGTAAAATTCTCCTTGTTAACATTCATATTATGGCCACAAACACACCTGCATTTTTAAAAGATTGATGATATGTAACATTTCAATCCTGCCCTCTATTAATGAGCAAGGTCAATCACTGGCATCTCTTTGTAAATCACTTCCCAGTTTAAAACATAATTTCTTTACTGGGCCACAGTACTCTCTATCTGTGTCTTCTAATTCAGATTTAGAGAGAAGTCAAAAGTAGAGAGAAGACAGTTGGACAAGCAAGGACAATGGGAGAGGGTTGGGGAGGAGGCACTGCAGGAGAGTGGACATGAGCCCTGGAGGCAGTGCTGAGATGGCACCAGCAGCTCAGGAGAGTCTCAGGCTGCTCTGGCCCGGGAGGTGAGCTGGGACGTGAGCAGCCAGGGCTACAGTCAACTAATTGTAACTAATTAGTTATAATGCCAGTGTGTAGCCTCATCATGTGGGTGAGGGAGGACAAGAGGCACAAACTTAAGGTGTTGAAGAAACCTTCATCTTTCAAAAACTCCCCTGCTATCAGTGGTATCCTTTGTCCTAAAGTAAACCTGATGTTTACATCTGATTAATTTTGTTTAAATACATGTTAATTAAAGAAAACAAGAATTTCTTTTTCAGAGTATCCTTGAGGCACAGGGAACAGGTAGAACTCAGAAAGGATTTTCCTTGGGATACATCAGTGGAGGCCATCTGGGGGGAGAACCACAGCAATTCAGGTCTTACTGGATTAAATGTGTATATAGGCAGAGAAAATGGTGGGGGCCACACAGGGTGGGGGGATGTCCCAGGGCCATGAAGCTTCAGGGCCCCAGAGGAGTGAAGGACAAGCAGAAAGAAGTGCTGCTTGCATCAAGAAGCATCACAAGATCCCCCCTGTGTGTGCAACAGATCAACAAGTGGCTGTGGAGATGTGAATTGCGTGGTGTCTCCCCAGTGTCTTTGAGTGTGCTTGTGGGCTGGGGTACACTCACTAGATGAGAGTGCTGAAGAAAGGATATGGATTACAATTGGTTTTGGTCTGTGCTCCAGGAGTGCAGAGAGGGAGAGAAAGCCTCTTTTTTTTTATCCTCCTATCAAAGCATCAGACATAATGAGGGTGCAAAGGAAGGAAATGAGAATCTGGCTTGACAGAAAAGACTCCCATGAACAATTTATGAAGAAGGTTTGAGCTGATATTTCGGCTTTAGGCCTAAACAATCAACTTGACATTTCCATGTGTGGTAACCACATGAAGACTGATGGATGGATTTCCATCTGGCTTCTCCAGTCAATTTTCAATAAGCAGGCCTAATATTTCCTCCAAGGCTATTTGTAGTTTAAAGCTGTTTAAAGTAGTTTCTTAAGAATGGAGTATGCTTTGGAGGAAAGGCAGTTCTGCTGCTCCTTGAGAGGAATTAAAACTCACATTTTGCTAACCCAGAGACTACAGCAGTCCGGATCTGCTTTCCTAGATCTTATCCACAAATAGAAGTTTATATCTAAAGTTTCTATTTTTATTTTTTCCTCATTCAGCTCATTCTGAAATGGCACTCCAGTCTCTGAAGAAGAACATATGTATGCAGAGCTAAGTAGTCAACTAGCTTTAAATGCATAATTCCTCATTAAATTTCTTAATTCCTCATTAGCTTGCATGTGCAAACCCAGAGCCTAATCCAAATCCCACCGGTGGCAGTGAGAATGGGTTTCACCTCTCAGATTTAGCCATCTAAAAATCAGGCATGTATGCTGAATGAAACTGTGGAGGAGCCACTTGTAGTGAAAATAGAGAAAGATCAGCATTTCCAGGATATGATTCATAGCATCTTCCTTAAGGGCTTGTCTTGAGAGGGGACAAGTGTATTTCCAGCAGCCACTATCTTTCTCCCCTGCTTGTAAAGGGAGCCTGTACAACTAAGCCTAGAAGCCTCCTTACACTGATAAATGAAGCCAGGGGAAGGAATCTTTCTATTTATTTCAGTGGATAAGGATTCTGACTTTCAGTTTTCCACATCCTTTATGCCAAGATAAATTACAAGTGAGTAAGCAAGGTCCCAGAGGTCATCCCAAGCTGCATCTCATGGGCTGTTAACTCTGGCTTCAGTTAGCTTTTGGGATCTATTGAAAAGACATGTGAACTTCTGAAATAAAATTAAACTTTTTGCTAATTATTGTTCCTTGCATCACGCTGGACTCCCTGACAGGGAGCACAATTAGATGGAAATCTCAAAGCAATGGCAGAAGCTTTTTGTCTGTCTCCTCTAAAGACACTCACAGTGGGATATGTGAAATGTCAGGAATAATTAGACAAAACTATATGAGCTCCTAGCAACACTGATGTGCTGTGTAAAACCAAGCATTTGCCATAAAGCTTTAAACATTGTTGAAAACCTTCGTGATAAAAGTAACCCGAATAATTTTTAAGTACCATTTCTAATATAATAATAAAGACATGGATGTGAAAAAGCAGAATAGAAGGGTATGAAATGCTGGCATGCCTTTGCTCAGGTAGGCTGCTCTGCTGCTTTTTTTACAAAGGTGATATATAAAAGTAATTGATGCCTCTCATATAGCAATTAAAATGAAGAGGCAAATTCCCTCAGCTCTTCATCCGCTGGAGTGTATTTTAACAAGCAGGGAAAGGGCTAGCTCCTGGTATCAGTATCACAAAGATCATAGACATGTTTGTGAAAAGGGACTTGTGGAGGTCCCTTAGTCCAGCCTCCTACTTTAAGTAAAATCTCCAAAATGAAGAAGGAATAACCATTTCACATCAGCAGGAAATCTGGCGCAAATTGCCCCTTAGAGAAGAAAAAAATGAGCGATGAATGCAGAGAAAAGGGGAGAAGAAAGGCAAGAGAAGAAGGGAAAACAGACCAACATTTTATTTGAGATGATAATATTAGAAATGCAAAACTTTTTTACCAAAACTTGGGATTATCCTAGATTGACTAACAGATGTGTTTTTATCTTCTAGGAAAAACAATGAACAATGAACATCTTCTTTCCAGGATGAAACCTGGAAGCTTTTTTGCTGCTCTGTTGAATATGGGATTATAAAAAAGTTTTTTAAAAATTGCACCTAGAGCATCACTTTCAAATGGATAACTGCTGAACCTGGGACTCTTCATTACCAACTTCTTGCATCCTGGAGGGGAAAATGAATTTCACAAATTGCACCACTGAAGCCAGTGAGGCTGCAAAGCCAAAGACAGTAACTGAAAAGATGCTCGTTACCCTGACCTTGGCCACAATCACAACCTTGACTATGCTGCTGAATTCTGCTGTAATTGCAGCAATCTCCACAACCAAGAAGCTCCACCAGCCGGCAAATTATCTCATATGTTCACTGGCTGTGACAGATCTCCTTGTTGCTGTTCTCGTCATGCCCTTGAGCATCACTTACATAATGATAGATAAATGGACTTTGGGGTACTTCATCTGCGAGATCTGGCTCAGCGTGGACATGACCTGTTGCACGTGCTCCATCCTTCATCTGTGCGTCATTGCACTGGACAGGTACTGGGCCATCACAGATGCCATCGAATACGCCAGGAAAAGAACGGCAAAAAGGGCTGGGCTGATGATAGCCACCGTGTGGACTATCTCTGTTTTCATATCAATGCCCCCCCTGTTTTGGAGAAATCACCGCAGCGTCAATATTCCCAGTGAGTGCCGCATTCAGCACGACCATGTCATCTACACCATTTATTCCACATTCGGGGCATTTTACATCCCCTTGACTTTGATCCTGATCCTGTACTACAGAATTTACCACGCTGCAAAGAGCCTTTACCAAAAGCGGGGCTCAAGCCGCCACCTCAGCAACAGGAGCACCGACAGCCAGAACTCTTTTGCCAGCTGCAAGCTCACACAGACGTTCTGCGTCTCGGACTTCTCCACGTCTGACCCAACCACAGAGTTTGATAAAATCAACGCATCCGTGAGGATCCCTCCTTTCGAGAATGACTTGGACCCGGCTGGCGACCGGCAGCAGATCTCCACCACACGAGAACGAAAGGCTGCTCGCATTTTGGGGCTGATTTTAGGTGCTTTCATTTTGTCCTGGTTGCCCTTTTTCATCAAGGAACTGCTTGTGGGCCTCTACATTTGCACTGTCTCTCCAGAAGTAACAGACTTCTTGACCTGGCTTGGGTACCTCAACTCGCTCATCAACCCTTTGCTGTACACGAGCTTTAATGAGGATTTCAAGCTGGCCTTTAGAAAGCTCATCAGGTGTCGAGAACATACTTAAAAGTACTGAGAGAAGATAATGCTGGCATGACTCCTGGCCTTAAAAATGAGCAAAACTATTTGACTGCCACTGTTTCCCTTTATAAAGGGGATTTTTATGTTTGTCTATTTGCTTGACTGTTCTTCAGCCTGTAATTCATTATGCCATTTTTTAATTTCTAGTGTTATTCATAGTAGAGGGTTTGAAATAAATTTATTCTACAAAGGAAAAGATTTTTTAGAAATGAAACAACAAAAAAATATTATTATTATTAGATACTCATGTCTAAGACCTTTTGTGTAATCAATGATTCAAGAAGCAAACAACAATATTCACTTTTATACTTTTTCCATTTAAGAATCGAACATCGAAATTATGTACTGTATAAACTAAACCCCATAAATACATATTCAAAAATTAATAAACACTTCATGGTCATGACAGCTAAACAGCACCTCTTTACTCTGGCTTTGTGAAAAAGCTGTAACAGCCATTTAGGAGGAAAATTACCACGATTTCCACCTTGGGTTGAGGCAGAATAAACTATTCCTTTCTTCAGGAATACACTCCCAAAACAGAAAGCAAAGTTCAGTTCATTGCATCCAGAAATGATCCCATTTCATAACCCAAAAGAATTTTTAAAAGTGTCTCTCTTTGTGTAATATTCCAGATTTCCATTCAAGGTGTTGAGCAGACAATTGTGCAGGTTGTTTGGCAATTGAGAGGATGCATCTAGCAAGTGTCACACTTGTGAAACTAACTGCACATCTGAGTGGTCACACCTTCAATACCACTTACCTTATTTCTTCAGGCCTTGTGCCTTAGTCAGTTTTGGGGTGGTATTTTTCACTTGTGCCACACTTCACCTGAATGTTGTGGTGCACAACCCCAAGGATCTATGGATCTTACCCCCACCAACTCAGACAGCTGGATATCTTCTCAGCAGGCCAGCAATATATAAAAATTCAAAAACATCAGTTAAACCTAATTATTTCTGAATATCAGGAAAAAAATTCAGTAAAATAATTTATTTCAGATAGTAGTCTGCACATATGACTTTTTGTCAATCCCACGAATTGCAATGGCAATCTTGCCAACTTAACCTATGGTCAGGTGCTCTGGTAGGATTTATTGCTCTGGGAGGCCTTCACAGACCTACTTCCCCTGAGAGACAAAAAAGTCCTTTGTATCCTACCTTTTGTGCTTATGGATGTTAAAATTTTCTAATTAAAATATTATAGAAATCAGTCTGGGAAGAGGCAAAATCAAAGCTGAGAATTTGATATTGTCCATTAGCAACTCCTAAGCACCATTTAAATATTTATTACTGCCTTGTACCCTAATTTTCTTCCCTGTCCATTTTTCTGGACAAATTCTTTTTGAATTACAGCAATACACAACAAAGGTAACACCACATATGTCAACCTGACATCCAATAACCGTGAAAACTATAGTATGGCGGTTCCAAATCCATCAAAACAAATACTAGAGGTAGCAAAGTGTTGTAACAGCACTGGAAGCCATCTCTTAAAAATGTTTTGAAAATTTACAAGATGACAATAATTTTTCTTATCAAGAGTCAAGGAAGTGTAAGTAATATGTGAGTAATAAACTGCAAATGGAACTGAGACATGACATCCTCATTGGTGAGAGAAAGCATTTGGCTGGAAAGATGCAGTGCCACAAGCTGAGCACAAACCAAGTCTGAAGGTGACAAAAGCATGACCTGCTGCTTACCCACATGCAGTGGGATTCTTCTTCCAGGACTCCCTGCCTGAGTTTGGGAGGTCCATCTCCAGCTGTCCTTCTGGAGCTACAGTTGCAGTTGCCTCCACCAGATGCCTTTGAGTTCTCTACTAGCAAACATTAATACCTAAAAAGAGAGGAAAATTATCTCAGCCACTGAAAATTTCTTTTAGTGAGGAAGCACAGACATCCACTATGGTTTTTCCTTTTTGCAGCTTGCTGGAGGTAGAAATTGTTGATTAAAATCAGGGAAGTGTGTCCTGACCCTGCTTATCAACAAAGCTTCCAAAGCAGTTCTCCAGATATGCTATTAAAAAAAAAAAACAACACAAAAACAAACAAACAAAAAAAAAACCTAGAAATTAAAATCAAAATGTGGTATTTGTAAGTGCTGCAGAATAATTTTTTTCTTTCAGAAAGCACAACACAATTTATTATTAAAGAAGAAGTATTCAGTACTATTTGTGAAACAAGTTGACTGTGGCAGATAGGACACACAAGCAGTTATGCCTAGAAGAGAGTAGATTTTGATGCCCCTTGGGTGCACAAGGGTACCCAGCTGCTGTGATGACCAGAAAGGGAAGAATAAAAGTGAAAGACTGCCCCAGCAGACTGTCTGAGCCACCCCAAGGAGCTCAGCTGAGGCAGACGCTGCACCCCAGCCAGGTTCTTTGGGGCTCTCTCTGGCTCAGCTCTGGGGTGGGCTGCACAGGGGTCTTTGCCAGGAGAAGGGAAGGGGTGGAGTGACAGTGCTGGTGAAAGGTGATTCAGAGGGGAAAAGCAACAAAATGAGGGATGTCTCCAGCTCTGACTGCTGCTCCTAAGGGCACATGGCACACAGAGTAATTTAGGCCAACAGGTTCCCTGGAGGCCAGCTAGTCCAAGCCCCCTACAAACAGCAAACCTCAAAGTGGGAGCAGCCTCACAGCTCAGCACTGCTCTGGCATGCTGTGTGCAGTCATGTTTCTCCTGGAAAAACAGCTCAATTGACTCTGTTGCCAAGACTGACACTCATTTAAAGCTGTAAGTGTGGCTGAAGGGCTGGAAATGCTGAGTGTGACCTCCACAGCAGCTGTCATAAGCAGGTAGCAGTGCTTCAGAAACGTGGATGAAAGCCGTAAAATACAGGAGCTGCATCATCTTTATTTCTCCTAAAGGCTTCCTTTTAGTATGTGAACACTGCTATTACCACTCTAGCTACCAATCAGGTTGAAGGCAGTATTCAATTTTAATATTTAGAGGTAATTAACAGGAAAAAACAGATGGATGGCTAATTTCCGTGCTTTCCTGTTAAATAAAGACTCACCATTCACTGCCAGCAGACTACTGATTTTCTAATTAAGTCATTAGCTAAACACAGAGAATGTTTTCCAACAAATGCCACTAGATTGATGAAGATGTATGTTTTCCCCATGATCAGAAACAAAGTCAGGAACAACATAAAGGACTGGCTACTTAAAACAGCTCAACTTGATCAGAAATTACCAGTCTTCTGATGAAAATGACAACTTTTGCTAGTCTGACACCACTGTTTGACACCACATATTTTCTTTTTTTTTTTCCTGTTAAGTTTTTACTGATTTTACAATGGGTTTGGACAAATTTCTCGACCTGTCCATGGCAACTCTCCATTCACACCTATCCTGGATCAGGCCCACCCTCTCCATGTTGTGTAATACAAGATCTTCCCAACAAGCCCTTAGTGATGTATTCAAGACCTACAGACTACCTCCATCTTCCTCAACCTCTCTAAACCATCCTGCAACCTCAAAGCCTTATTTTCTCTAATGCTGCCCTTGTAAAGGTGTCTTGCTTTACAACCCTCACTTCCTGCCTGTCCTGCCTTTGGGTTTCTGACTCTCTCTTATCCCTAAATTTATTGTGGTCCTACTAGATCAAGCCCCTATTCTCCCTGCCTCTCTCTGAATTATCAGAATTCCCATGACTATGGCTGTTCAAGTCTGCAAGATTTTACTGTCTTAGATGTATCCAGGCCATATCCAGAAGGTTTTTACTCTCTGTAAGCAGCCGGTGCTTTGGAGTGAGTTCATACATCCCTGAAGATTGCATCAGTCAACAAGTTGTGCTCCCCAAAAGACAGACCCTTCAAATGGTATTTTGCCTATTTTTTCTATCTTGTTGCCTTTCTTCTGTACCCTATCCTTTTGTTCCCTTTCTTCCACATTAAAGTTGACCCTTGTATTATTCTTTTATGGACCTGTATCTTTGTCCCTGCACAAGTTACTCAGGTTTCACTCAGCTCCTGCTCTTCTGCCTGTGCCAACCACAACTCTCTTCTCTGCAAGCTTTGTCCTCACCACCCCCATGATCTTTCCACATCTCTGTTGTTCCTTGCAGCTGATGGGCTTTTTCCCTTCTCAAAACCACTTCTGATATGGTAAAACTCCTGAAAGAAAAGCACTCACCGTGGGCAGTGAAGGAATTAGTATGAGTGTGTGTATAATCTGTCTTTTTTTCTCCACGTTTCCCTTACAGATCACATCCTCTTCTGAGGTGAACAATCTCTCCTAATGCACAGCATACACAGACACAGCAAAAACACATTGAGAGCTGCATATGGCCTGAGCCACTTGCATTTGGCTCATGCACAGTACTTTAAATTTGTGAGTTCCTCACTACATGATGTACCAAGCTGCTCACAACACAAGCTAATTTTATTGATCTTCCTGTATGGAGAAAGATGATGGGATTGAACTTCCCAAAAGGTTTAAAATAAAGCCCCTGCCTCACCAACTTTACATAAAAGGTTGTCACTATTCAGACTTCACTGCTGCATGCCTGAGCTGTCCAGCTTTCCTGTTTTTATCACTTCTTATTTCTTTGTCCTTTGTCTGTGCAAGGAAGGAACAAAAAAACAAAAAACAAAAAAAAAACAAACCCAAACAAACAAACAAAAAAAAACCCCAAACACACACACACACACAAAAAAAAAACCAAACAGACGACAAAAAAACAGCTTAAAAATTTGGTTTATCCAAAATATAAAAAAAAAAAAGAAATCTTTTCTAAGGACTCTCTTTCCACTCCTCTGTTTTGAATTCCAGTTATCAAAAAGTAAAGAGCATTAGAGTGTTGAGGGGAAATACAAACTTCCAGCTTAAGTGCAAAGATAGTCCTTGTGCCTGGGTATTGTTTAACCATTACAAATATCAATAAGAGACAAGCTGGTTCATGTTCATCCTTTACACACCCAAATGGTTTCTATGAAGAATTATCTCAAATTGCTTTATTGCTTAAGTAGACACAGTAAATCTTGTGATATATTTTATTGTTCAAGTAGTATTTCATAAGAGTCCTATGTAATAAATAGTCACCCATTCTAATTACTGGTTTTCACTTGGGGCCAAATTTTTTTTTAAATTATCTGACTTTGGATAAATTCCAGGTTCATCAGCTGTAAAATTATTCTTCAGCATTCTCTATTTTACTTTATGTACATTTGCAAACATTGCTCCCTTCTTTTCTTACACTGCCAGGGGATCTTTACTTCTTCATTAATCCCATGCAGGTAATCACCTATAAATGAAGTTATATGATTAAATTACTCCTTCCTACTCAGCTAATTTCTATGCTTCTATGAATCAGTGTTCAAATATAAATTTTTGATGTTGCTGCTGTGAGTAGAAGATGTAACTATGAATGAGCTGGGGGAAAAAATCACGATCAGAAAATTATATTAACATCTTCTCAAAGACCTAAGGGAGAGAGACTAATTTCAACTTTTTGCCTTCTAAATCA